TTTTCCTTGAGAGGGCAGAATTGCTGGGCCCTGTGGTCACACTCTTTAACCGTAGGAGGAACTGCCAGGCTGTTTTGCACAGGGCTGTGCCCCACCCATCAGGGTGTGAGAGTTTGGCCTCTCCACACTCTCATCTACCTCGTTAGTATCAGCCTTTTGACATGGGTCACCATTGAATATAAAACTGAAGGCATGTGTAAAACGCAATCAACTCCAAGGTGCTAAAATAGCTTTTCTGGAAGCGCTGGACGGCCTAGCCTCAGGAAGGAGCTGGGGTCTGGCCTGGGCTGGTGGAGGCCGGGAGCCCCCTCCTTGGGCTCCAGGCCCCAGGGCCGTGCATGGGGAGGTCCACCCATCACTAACTCCCCAGTGTCCTCTTGTCTTTCAGCAATTCACGAGTTCCCTACGGACCTGTTCTCCAACAAGGAGCGACAGCATGGAGCTGTCCTGCTGCACATCCTGGGGGTGAGTGGCCTCATGGGGACAGCCCTAAGCGCCAGGCCTGTGTCCTGGCTCAGTGCATGGTGGAGACACCTTCTCCCGCCCTTAACGGTATCAGTGGCTTGCTCAGGGCCTCACAGCCAGAGCCTCAGAGCTGGTCTTTAGGGCCTCCTTTTTTGCTTTCATAAATGAGCAGCAGTGTCTATCTATCCAGATGAAGTAACATTGAGTGACTGTGACCCAGGGCACCAGGCGTGGCTGGTCAGTAATTTTGCCACCTCCACATAGAATTTAAATGTGGCTGATCCTCAGATTCCCATGTGGCCTGTGATGACAAATGGTGGCATTCGAGGGGCAATTTGGAAAGGAATAGTGGGTTCAAACCCAAATTACAGGCAAAGGTCGCTCCTTCAACAGGGCTGGGCAAACCCCGGCCCTCACACACGGCCCATCTCTGTCAATAAAGTTTTATCGGAACCAGCCGTTCTCACTCACTTCTGCATCACCTGTGGCTGCTTTTGCGCTTCAGTGGCAACAAGCTGAGTAGTCGTGATGGAGACGACATGGTCTGCAAAGCTTTCAAGTGTTTACTGTCTGTCTCTCGGCAGAAGAAGCTTGCCAACACTGTGGTATTGTACTGGGAAATGAAGCTGGGCACGGTCGGCTTTTCTACTTTGGATCAATCACAGCAAATTCTCCTACTGGTTAGGTTTCCCCACCACCCAGCACCATCTGCTTATGTATTTAAACCCAACCAAGTATTAGTCTCTGCAAGAGATAATGAAGAACGTGAATGCTGGGATTCTCACATGGAGAGTCACCGCCAGAGAATAATGAACGAGTGAAGTTTTAATTAACAGGACAAGCAGTTAAGGACAGTGGAGCTGAGGCAGGAGTGACCGGCATGTATATGGTTTCTGTAATAGGGTTGTTGCTGTGTGGCTCCCTGGCTCCCCCACTCCTTGCTCACCGAGGGAGAGTGGGCCCGCTGGCAGGACAGCCGTGCTGTGGTCCTGCCTCGTGAAAGTCTTGGCTTTACTGAGACCGAAATTCCCATCCCCAGAATTTCACAGGAACCCACTAGATTATGAGTGATGAGCCTATGACTAGAGAGCCAGAGCCAGCCTGTTTTTATAAAGTTTGACTGGAACAAAGTCAGCATTCTGTGCGTGCTCTTGATCCACGCCAGCAGAGTGGTGGAAGCAGAGACTGGGACCCTGGAAAACCAAAGCACTTACTGTCTGGCCCTTCACCAAAAGTTGGCTGATCCCTCCTTTAGAGCAAGAAAAGGTGTAAGCTTTGGAGCCAGTTTTGTTTTTTTAAAGATTTATCTATTTATGTATACAAGAGTTGGGGTGCAGGCCAGAGGTGGAGGGACGGTGAGAGGATTCACCAGAGACAGAGTGGGGAGCAGAACAGGCTGATGGACAAAGCACGCTGCTGAGGGGAGCAGCGGGCGGGTCGGGAGAGGTCTGCCGCGCCATGTGGGTCACCTCCTGGGCCGGGAGCGAACTCTCACTAACGCTGCTACAGCCAGCTGCAGTGCTGCTGTTGCGCCACTAGGGAGGGCCCATGAGCCAGTTTTATCTGCAGCTCTAGGAGGTTTCTTAAAACTGCAGCAGCCCAAGTGATAGAAATTAGGGTGTCATCCTGGCCTCCTTTCTCTCCTGTGTAAGGTGTCAGGGGAACCACAGCCCCCTTGACTTCATGGGACACACTTTGTCTGGGAAATGATGTTACTGGAAATTTCTGGAGGTGTGAATTCAGGTCAAACCTTGATTCAAGTCACCCACAGTATTTATTTCTTTTTGCTTCCCCCCCACCCCGCCCAAAGATAATGAGTCATTTTAAAAGTACCGATCTCTTACTCTGTCACTAAACAGAAGGAGAAACTAGACCCAGAGAAGTGACCTAGTGCAAAGTCACATGACCCTGCCCCCCAGGGTCAGCCTTAGACTGCCCTCTGTTCCGTGACCCTCCCAGCGTAAATGGCTGGTGACACCTTCCAGTACCAGGAAGGCTCCCAGGAGATGCCAAATCCCAGATTGGCATTCGTCAGGGGAGGGTCTGGGCAGTTGACAGTGAGGGAACGGGCCTTCACTAGCCAGGACGCTTATCATTCTAAGCTCTTAAAAGGATGCTTCTGAATTTGTTCCTTCTTGGCCCTTACGGTTGATGTCTTGCCTTCTGGGGGCTGCTCTGGTCCTGGGGAGAGAGCAGCTGCTTTTTTTTTTTTTAAAGATTTATTTATTTATTCATACAGAACCGGGGTACAGGCCAGAGATGTGGAGGGTGAGAGGATTCACCAGAGACAGAGTGGGGAGCAGAACAGGCAGATGGATGAAGTACACTGCTGAGGGGAGCAGCGGGCGGGTCAGGAGAGGTCTGCCACGCCATGTGGTCACCTCCGGGGCAGGCGGGAATCGAACTCATGAGGAAGCGGCTTTAGATTCTCAGTGCTGTGCTTTAACCCGCTGCGCCACCAGGGAGGGCCAAGAGAGCAGCTGCTTTTAAGTGGCGAGAAGAGAACGCACGATCATGTGGCCAGAGTCTTAGTGCCCTGTTGCTCAGCCAGTTACTTATCTCTGAGCCTCAGCTCAGATAGGGTTGAGGGAGCAAGTCTCTGTGGTTCTGGACTTTTTCTCCCGGGCCTCTCCGTCCCCTGGTGTCTGCCCCAGCAGGCTGGTCGGGCGTGGTCCACCACGGTGGCCAGCACCTGTTCACACGCTCTGACTCCATCTCCCTGCAGGCTCTGTACATGTTCTACGCTTTGGCCATCGTGTGCGATGACTTCTTTGTTCCCTCTCTGGAGAAGATCTGTGAGGTACGTGGAGGCACTTGGGCCCCCTTGGGAGGCCTGGGGAAGGGCTGCAGGTGTGTGAGGATGGGCCATGCGGGCTCTGGGCAGAGAAGGACGGGCGTGGGGAGCGCACTGGTGATGGAAGCTGGCAGCGGCGTCCTCTCCCAGAGACTGAGGAGGACTCTCCCAGCACGCGGTCAGTACCCAGAGCTGTGGCTACACAGCAGGTACTGACGGTCGAGCCAAACGTGGTTCGTTAGGGAGAATTCCCGGTAACCAGCTTCAGATGGCCAATGCCAGGTGGGGCGCTGTGTCGTGGAGAGGGTGCCAAGCTGCAGGGCATGTGTGGCCACTGTCCGGTGCGGGCTGACACTTTGTCCTGATAACTCATGAATTTTTTGCTTTCTGTTCTTGTTTATCCTCATATGCAAGGCCCCTGGCAATTTCTCTGCTTTTTTGGCTTTTGCCCAAGGAAGGAAAACCACCTCTGATGTTAGTACCGACTGTGTGCTTTGCCAGACTTCACTCTGTGAAAGCTCCCAGCTGGCTGAAGCCACATTGGTGTTGACACTTACAGTGGGGACTTGTTAAGGGCAGGTGCTTTGACCCCTCACCGAACACAGCGCAGGGGCCGGCTGCTCTTGACTTGGGTTTCAGCCTCCCCCACTCCCCTGATGCCCCTTGTTCCCCCCTGCTCCCCACCACCTCTCACCTAGATCTCCTCTACAGATCTGTATAGTTTAGAAACTCCAGAGAAAGAGCGTGAGGGACACTCAGGAAAAGACTGCTGGGAGTCAAGGCAGGGGTTCACTTCAAGCATCCTGAAATGGCATGGAGAAGTGGAGAACCTCCGAGAAAACTGGTCAACCAGCCCTAGTACCCACTAGGCTGAGAGCCTGGGGTTCCCAGCACTGGGGTTCCCCCTCTGGGGCTGACAGGAGCCCATGAAGGTGGGTGATTGATGGCACAGGACCACCTGCAGGCGTTCCACAAGGTTACATGTCTCTCTAAGGAGACAGCTCGAAGTTGAGTGAGGATGACGGTCTTGCCCCTGCACCAGTGTCAGGGACCCAGTGAGAGCATTGTAGGGTCAAGGGGCTGAGAGGAGGGAGGGAGTCTCTCTGTTGAAGAGAAACCCAGGAAAGCTTCATGGAGGAGGTGGCATTTGGCCCAGCTTCAGTGTAGGATTTCTACAAGCAGAGAAGGGAAGGGGAAGAGACTTGTAGGAGGGAGGTGTGGTCCAGGCAAACAAAGGAAGAGGCAGAACAGGTTCAGATTCCGCTGTAAGTTATTGGAGATGCTTTGGTAGCAGGACCTCTTTGTGGAACCTTCTTCTTTGGTGGGGTAAAGGTGACCGGCGTCCATCTTGGTGGTCAGTTGTATGCCCCACCCCCACACCTGCCAAGTCCAGAGCCTGGATGGCCAAGAGGTCTACATCCGTGTGTTTCAGAAACTCCACCTGAGCGAGGATGTGGCCGGAGCCACGTTCATGGCCGCAGGGAGCTCCACCCCCGAGCTGTTTGCCTCCATTATTGGTAAGAAATCCATCAGCGGGAGACAGGGCCTGAGCCTGGCACAAGGCACCAGAGTAGTGAGGGCCTTTGTCAGCATTGAGCCTCAGTCTTCTCATCAGTAAAACGGGTGAGGAGGAGACCCTTTGAATGTGTTTGCTGGGCGTGGTGGAGTGGGGTGCTTCTGGTTGAGGGGTTTCTTCAGGGGATGGTGAAGGTGTTCCAGACTGTGACAGTGTTGCACAATTCCCTGGCCATACTAAGCACAGGTGGCTCCTTCCACAGGGTGGGTTTTGTGGCAGGCAAGTGATAAGACGCTGCTCCCCACAAGGCGGAGCTGGGGTCTCTGGTCCCTGCAGACGCCTCCCCCTCTGGTTCTCACCACGGGACAGGTGTTCTGTGCTCTGCTGGCTTGGGGGAGGGGGCTCTGCCCTCACAGCTGCCTGGGTCTGAGGAGGGGCTGGCGGGGCCTGGCTCAGGAGGGTCACGTCTGCCTCTTTCCAGGTGTGTTCATCACCCACGGAGACGTCGGGGTTGGCACCATCGTGGGCTCAGCAGTATTCAACATCCTGTGCATAATTGGAGTTTGTGGCTTATTCGCCGGGCAGGTCAGTGGTTCTCTCTGCTTATGAAATCGGGCTGGGGTAGTGGTAGGGGGCTCAAGGCCCAGCGGAGGAGACCGGCAGCCTGAAGGAGGGCCTCCCGCCTCACCCCGTTTCCTAACTCATCACAGTGGCATCTGGCCTTCCTGCCACCTCCAGCCACGTGGGGCTCTCCGGGGCAGTCAAAGGATGAGAGTTCATTTGACTAAGTAAAGATTTAAGAGGTCCTTGTCGCCACCCTGACCTTGCACTAGATTCCAGGGATCTTTGGGTCCTGCCAGCGGCCTCTCCTGCAAGACGTGTGAAACCGGCCTCCTGTTGATACCAGTTAGCATTTTCTGGTCCTCAGGCTCACAGGATATTAGACTGGACCTCAGCGAGCCATGCCCAGGGGTAGCCCTTCTGGACCAAGGGAGATGAAGGTGGGCAGTCAGTTACTGCCAGAAGGTTCCGGCATGGGGGGGCGGGGGGGGAGAGCCAGCACTTTGGCTCAGTCTTGGCCCTTGGCCTCTGCTCACAGCACACAATGTCCTTAGCTTGGGGGAGCAGAGGCAGCTTTGCCATCACTTAAGAACCTTCCATGGTTTGCTTCGTTCCCCACAGGCAGTGCAGGGCAGGGCAGAGAGTGGTGTTGAGTAGCCAGGGGGGTCTGATGGCACCGTTAGGAAGCGCCCCATGGCTGTGTCCCTATTCTGTGGGTGTCTAGGACAGTGGCCCCCGCAGCTGTACCCCCAGTCTCCCCAGCTGATGGCGGCTGCTGCCCTTCCCCGGCAGGTGGTCCGGCTGACGTGGTGGGCCGTGTGCCGGGACTCCGTGTACTACACCCTGTCTGTCGTCGTTCTCATTGCCGTGAGTCCCCCCTGCCGCCCCGTGCCCCGCACCCCAGCTCTCCGCAGAGCACGGACCAGCCCGCCACCGAGCTCCCCTCCCCGCAGCGCTCACACCCGACAGCGTGGTTTTGGCGTGAATCCGGGACCGCCGGCAAGGCAGCAAGGCCTTGAAACAGCAAAAACAGTTAAAATTCAAGCCCTCGACTTGGGGAGAATTCCCGGTTTCGCAGCCGTGGGCAGGAAAGAGAGGCCAGCTGGGAACTGGGGAGGCAGGGCAGGGGGAGGAAGAGAAGCGTAAGCGGGGATCCCTGGTGCCTGGGCGCCTCGATGGCCTGTGACAGGACGCACATGTCCCCGCTGCTCGCCAAGGATCGTTCCGCCCCCCACGACATGGTTTCCACCCTAAAGGAGCGTGAAAGGCCCCTGCATGAGGGCAGGTCATGCGGGGCGGGGGTTGGGGGGTAAAGGGCAGGAGCAGGTGGGCACCCAGATTTTGGGGACTGCTGTGTGTCCCAGAGCGACAATCCTCAGCCTCAAAATACACCACCAGCTGCACACGACCTACATGTCCCTCGAAGTACACGACCCTCCTCTCTGTTTTCTGTTGCTGCGTAACCAAGACCCCAGCTGTCGCCAATTCAAACAGCACACGGGCGTGAGTCCCGTTTTAGTGGATCAGAAGCTGGGTCCAGGGTCGGCTGGGCCCTCCAGCCCGGGTGCTCACAGGTGCGGGCCTCGCCCGGCTGGCCCGGGCATGCTTTGCCTTCAGGTTTCTGGCCTGGCAGTTGGCGGCCTCGGGTCCTGCCGGCTGGCTATTCTATACCACAGCTCTCAAGATGCTGCTTCCCTAGGAGCGAGGGCGAGAAGCCATGGTCATTCGGTTGGCCAGGCCCTATTGCTTAGCCCGAGGTTTGAGATCCAGAACACTCAGGGGACCTGAGTGTCGAGTGGTAGATCATTGGGGCCACTTCCTGCCACAGCACCCCTCAAAATGAGTTGTAGTTCCAACAGTTTACCTGTACCTATTTAAAAACATAAATAAATGAATGTGCCCGAACTCTGCAGTAAAGGACAACTAACAGCAACTTATCATAAAGGAATGCACCTTCCCGAATGTAAATGTAGCTCTTAGAAAACCTAATACAGTCACTGATACCCCCAAAAGAACCCCCCGAACCTGACAGCTGTCAGAGCATGTGGGCTGGGTGCTGGCTTGACTCCCCCAGATGTGTGACTGGTACCAACAAGTTGGATGACAATTTCCCCAAATTATGAACGACTCCTTCGCATCAGAGTCTTTCCATTTATGCCTGACAGTTACCTCCCTAGAACGTTACGTCTTAATTTAAACCACATAAAAGTGTGTTGATCTGTAAAGTGGAGTTAAGTTGTAGATTAAGTCCCTCCCCTGCCCCGACTTTGAGTATTTATCAAGACATAAAGACTTGTGCCCAGTGTGGAAATTTCTCCAGTGGAGTTACTGCACGGGTTCCAGGCTCAAGGCTTCTCAACACCAGCAGGCTCCGCTGGGTTGTAGAAAATGGAAAAGATCCCCTGAGTGTCCCTCGAGTTCCCCAGGTGTTGTGCTGGGTTCCCCTCTGTTGAGTCTTAAGTTTGGGACGCATGACAGGAA